GCCAATAATATCATTATTAAATGTTTTGCAATTAAATTAAGTGCTTATGTCTTGACATGTATTTGTCTGTCAATGAAAAAACACAGACAAAAGTAATAAACGCATAACAAAAGGGGTATTTGTATTGTCATTATTTACATTGCCATTTAATACCACGAGTATTTAATGAGACTATTTAACTAGACACATAAATGAATTGTGTACATGTATGCAATTAGTCTAATAAATTGGTCACGTAACATTACCATTGCACAATTACCAAACAAAAAACATGGTAAATAATTCCGGTCACGCACTTATCACTATTCATTTACAAGTACTGCATGTATACAAACATACAGAATATTCTTATCGTTTTAGATGTTTAACTCGTTGTCTTTTTTAATCGTACTCTAATGGACAGAATATTGCTTTAGGTATAATGAATAGCGTATTGAGTTTTCAACATAGACACTTTAATTGCCCGGATTAGATGCTACATAATATTAATGGCCATTAAAAGGCCATCACTTTGATATTACCTTTAAGGCTTTAATTTTACATTTAGGCCAAACTTTAATCTATGATAGTCTACTGCCTGATATAAATATTGCATTTTGTTAGTATTCAGAAATAATCTTTACCTTGTAGTAAGCATATTTTATAATCAAGAAAATGTTGTACTGTACTGTAGTTTAATATAAATAATTATTATTTTAATTTAAAACAAAATTAAATAATATAATCATAAAAAATATTCAAACAAACATATATCAAAGTAGAAATTGAGAATTAAAATTATAACTTTATATAACATATCACCAATACAAAATTAAAATCACAAAAATAATTAACCATTATTAACAATGGGTTCATTGGCTTTAATCGTGGTTAAAATCCAATGCATATAGAAAGACGTCGATACCTGATAAGTGGTGCCCGGATTGCAGGGATAGTTGCCGACAGGTGCAGAAGCCTGTATGCCAACCAGTATAGCTCGGGTCCGGTATTTGTCAGTATACTGGAAAAAACCTGCGCCCGAATCACCCTATGTTAGACATAATCACAAATAATTCAGTTGAATAACTAACTTACATATTGGTGTAAATAACTTACATCACACGAGATAGATTGATTGTATGTGGTGAACGTATTAGAGCATAACAAGGCAACATAACCTGGGTATTTCTGGCACTTGGTATCCGGTAGCAATTGTATTTCACCACGATGCAACCATTCGGGCAGTTGTTTGTGTTGTATATTGTTTACAAAACCAAACCCAAAAATCGTGACCCATTCCGGCTCAGTATTGGACACATTCTCCACCGGTAGGCACACTGTGTTGATCACTATAGTGTGGCCAACAACTGGCACATTGATCGCCTCCCGGAGCCGAACCAACGCTATGTCGTCTCTCTCCGTAAAGTTGCCATTTGGGTCGTATTGGTTGGGAAAGTGTGACGACTCTTCGGCCCTAAACCTGTATCCCGAAAGTACCCAATTATTGTCCGCAATTACCCATATTTCTCGTCTAACGTGTCTATGCCTGGCCAGTTTTGGCACAGGTGTGTTGTGATGTTGATGTTATCATGATGTTAGTAAATTACGTATTAAATTAAGTGTTATATTAAAATGTTATAATAAAGTATGCCATACGTAGAAGTTTTGAAACAATGGGCGGCCGTTAATATCCATTGTTTGGCAATCAACGCACCCGTGCAGTAGTAAATGTCTATAGGTGTCAAAGCTGATCCAGGTCCGTGACGAAAGTCCATGTAATTAATTTGAATGCTAACTACCCATGGTGCTTCGCCCAGATGTGCCCGACGCCCGTTCATTACACGACTGCCCAACACATCCTTTTTGCGCCATAAGTGCGGGCCATACATATCCATCACTCGTAGATGAGTGTAGTTATTATGAAAGCATTTTGTGTTGTTATACGTTATGTCAATTGCTGTGGGTATGAATCTCAGGCCACATGTCTCGGTATTAATCCCCAAATCTCGGTAATAATCAGAATAGTTACCAACTTTAACAAACGCACAATCAGTTTGCACTAGAAGTGAACATTTATTTGAGATTAATGTTTAATATAATAATTTGTGTGTAAATTATTATACAAGTACTATACTAACAAATATGTAATAACAGAATCAAAACCTGTCCGATAATTATCACAAATTTATACATTTTAAAAAATAATACAAAACATGAATTATAATAACTGTTATTTAACTGATAAATTGACTAAAATAATAGTTTTTATTTTTAAAATAGTAATAATTAACATTGAATTATGACTGCGCGTAAAGTAGTTTAGCTTATTGCTTAAAGTAAATTTCCATTTTTAATTAACCAGGATTTAATTATGTTTTATTTTTAATTACACCTAAAATCCAGTCGATCATATGAGAGGTCGATATATGATGAGAGTATTTAATACTACACAATGTTCCCAAACCATGTATGCCGGTTACGTGTGTGCCAACCAGTATAGCTCGGGTACGGTATTTGTTTGTATATTGGACCAGACCTGAGCCCGAATCACCCTGACCAATAATTTACACCATAAAATTAAAAACAAATCTATATTAGGTAAACAATATATAAAGTCAGACCACGATATAAGGGACTTCGGTATAAAGGGACAACTTTTGCCTAAATGTGTTTCTTACATCGAGGGGAGACTGTAACATATCAGCTACACTTACTTTACACGGAAAGGACATATTAACTGAGGGTATGTTTAGTGAACACAACAGTCTTGTGGTATTTTTAATAGCATTACACGTGTCATACGGTGCCAATAATATATGACCACGGTGCAACCAATTTGTCGTAGTATTACGCGTGTCAATACGACCAAAGCCATACAGTGTGGCCCATTCTAGCTCTGTGTTAACCTGTTGTTTGTCGGGCAGGCATACGGTGTTGACCATAAACTGTTGGCCCTCGGGTTTGGCGTACATTTCCCTCTGGAGCCGAACCAACGCCAAGTCGTATAGGGTTTTGACGCTTACGTTATAACCGCTATGAATGACCGGTTCGGCCAACACTCGGACAGTATCCTTACCGCTGTTACGATTGGCGCCGGCGGTCACCCATAGAGATAGGCCGGCGTTACTATACATGAAATACAGATTAGTTTAAAATACAGTATACTTTATGCTTAAGTTTAAGCTTAAACTGAGGTATAATATACTTTACAATACAATGAGCAGCCGTTAGTACCCATAATCTGGTGATCAATACTCCACTGCAAAATGTAGGTCTGCTTAAATGATGTGAATCAAAAAATTGTAGGCTAACCGCCCATGGTGCTTCCCCATTTTTGACCGGCCATCCGTTTGCCACACGACTGTCCAATAGATCCCGTGTTGGGTGTAATTGCAGCCCAAAGGTATCCCATTTTCGTATAGCCTTATAGTTATTATGAAAGCATTTTGTGTTGTTATACGTTATGTCAATGGCTTCGGGTGTGTATCTCAGGCCACATGTCTCGGTGTTAATCCCGTAATCCGTATAATTCGTATTATTATAATTTGAATAATTACCGATTGACACAAATAGACCATAAACATTGACTAAAAGTAAACATTTAATAATTTAATAGTAATTATAACAAATATTTTAAAAATAACTTACATTTAATCAATAATAATAATAATATTAATATTCTGTTTAAAATAACAAATACAAACATTTTTTCAATTAATTATAACATTTAATAAAATGAATTTCTATTAACTGTCAAATTGACTAAAGTAACAGGCAATACAATATTTTAAAAATCATTATAATAACATTGTAAAAATATTTTAATTGTTTTAATTTTTGAAATATGCGAGACTAGATTTTGCTAATAACAAAACAATTAAATACAATATTTAAGTTCGGGCTCTCTCTCTCCTCTCTCTCTCTCCTCTCTCTCTCTCTCTCTTCTCTCTCTCTCTCCTCTCTCTCTCTCCTCTCTCTCTCTCTCCTCTCTCTCTCTCTCTCTC